GTAGTAATAATAGTAATAGTAATCGTAATAATAATAGTGATAGTAAAGAGTTATTGTATAATAGTAATAATAATAGATTATATTGCTGATCTCTCTGCCGGAGAGACGCGATGGTGTTAACAAAATGTTTTTTGTTTTTTCCGGAGGCACGCCATGTTGTTAACAAAATGTTGCTGATTTCTCTGCTGCAGAGACACCACGTCCCTTCAATTTCTTTTAACAGGTTTTGAAAGATTGGAGAGCTCTACGCCACTATTATTGTTACTAGTATTATCACGATTATTATTATTGCTACTATTACTATTACTATTACTATTACTAGTACTAGTACTATTACTATCGCTATTACTAGTACTATTACTATTACTATTACTAATACTCACTGGCGCGACACATTCCGAGGATGCTCCACGCGCCAGCACGCCGACACGCCGCGAACACTGAGAGGGTTGCCGATCACGGCCAGATTCGCAGGACGTTGGGCCCTCTGAGGGGGCCGTCGATCGTGGACACAATGTGGAACCCGCTCCATGCGCCAGCACAGCTTTTAGAAGAGGCAAATGAACACGCCGCAAAGGCTGAGAGGGCTGTCGATGGCGGCCAGAATTCGCAGGTTGCTCCATATTGCAGCGCAATTGTGGAGAGACGCGGCGGTTCTGCCAGCCCTAACCAATGCTTTAAAATATGCTGATTTTGTTGGAGCAAGCTCACGACAACCCCACGGTAACCTCACAGGACAACCTCCCAACAACATCACGACAGCCTCACATCCTGCCATCAACCTCACATCCTATCCGATACCTCACGACAACCGTACAATAACCTCTTTGCCATCCCAGCCACGTCACTCCATCACTCAAACCTCACGCCATCCTATCAGTCAAACATCCTGCTCTTTGCTGAGCTCCTTCACCTTGGATAACATTCTGCCTAAGCTCATATCGCACTGCTGTTGGTAGTGTGTGTGTTGTGGGTTTGCTTATTCCTCTCGATTTCTTTTGATGTGCGAATGAGTTTGACCACTAGTTCATCTTTTTGGAAGACTTGGACCGACAGGCCAACTATCTGTCTTCAGTATTGCCTGCGGCCACTTGCTGCAGAAAGGTGGCTTCATTGATAGAAAGGCTCCTTAACATCAACTCACAGGCATCCACCTCCAGCTGTTCTTCGGCCAAAGCTCCAGACTGGAATTCCTACAGCAGCTATCCTATCTTCACATCCTATCAATCGAACCTCACTCCTATTAGACAAACACCTCCACTGAAAAGCCCTTCCCATTGCTTTTGGGAAAAAGACGACATGTTACTTGTCTTTATGCACTTATGGACCAAATTACTCTCCTTCTGCTGTTCCCAAATACATGGAGCCCAAGGTTGACGACAGTGACAGGTTGGAGAGAATTTTATGCCGGGCCCCAGCCAAATCGAGCGCAACAGCATCTGGACTCAGACATTGTCAGCCCATTCCCGTGGTGCAGTTTCTGTGGGCGGCTTCCTTCATGCTTTGCAATGTTCGCATCATGTCCTATCCTAGTCACAGGAAGACCCATGAAGTGGCAGCTGCCTTGCAAATGAAAATCAGACTTGGACTTATAACCGTCGCACAGAATCCACAAAACACTAAAATCACACCAAAAAAAAAAAAAAAGACGTCTCGTCAAAGTCCGCAAGTCAAGAATACTGTACTGCAAGACAGCTGAGAAGCGAAAGGCAACGTCATCCCGCAAGCAAGCCAGTCGGCAAAAACTTCCAGTTCTGCTGCAGCTCAACAGAATACAAATAGGAGCCGCATTGAGGCACATGTTTTTGTTTGAAAACCGCCGCCTGCCGTTCATCCCAAAAGTTTTCTCTCACGTTTCTTGGTGTACGGGAGTTTGGATGTTCTCATTGTGTTTTACTTTTAGGGTTTTCCTTGCAAAGTGCAGGTACGGAAAGGCTGTGTCACAATCCGACATAGAGAAGACTCGCGCAACAAAGGTACTTATGCCTGGACCTCACGGCATGCATATCTAGAGTCGACTCACCGCTGGTCCTTCCCGTTTCTGGGTCAGCACCGAATTCGAAAAGCCCTGCCCTCAACTGCCACGGAGCTGCCGCTTCAACAGTCGTACGGCAGATCACTTTAAAATTACACGCATTTAAGGTCAGCACGCCATGGAGCCGAATGTGGACACGACTTTCAGCCGAAACCTGTCAACAAGTTTGCTTCCACATTCCGGAAGAAGAAAAACACTGCAGCCCAACGAAGGACACATCTGGCCTCTGGTACATTTGAAAGTCATCAACGAGGTTGCTTGATTCTCCGCTAGATGCCTCACAGCCCATGAACATCATCCCTCTGGCGTGACTTGCTTGTTTCAGTCAAGACGCCACAGGGTCTGGCAACACGGATTGCCGCACAGGCTTCGCACGAACACGCACACTTGAGCAGACCCACTGGTCCAATGAGTGGCGACTGCAATCCTTGTTCTTTGTTGTCTTCCTTCCTTCGTCTTTTCTATTTTGCTACATTGCTAGGGAGCCACTCTTGCTTGTTTTGAGTTAACACAAGTGCACACAGGACATGACTGACATGTAAATTGCAACCCCGGCATGCATTACATCTCATATCATCATTGGCTGAAGTGACATGTCTGATGGACATGTTTGCACTGACATGTTCCAAATGACATGTGGATTGCCTGCATTGACAACTGACAATATGTGCTGCTCGCAGAACATCATCACATGTACTGATTGTAAACTTGTAGACCGCCATTTGTCACATGCACTAATTGCAACACGCTGACTTCCGACTGTGAATTTCATTCTGATGTCTGAAAACTGGAAAGGCTGCCAAGGCCGTCTAACTTCCCACGCAGGGGTGGAGTTCTAATCTGTCACACAGAGGTGGACTTCGCAGGTACAGCATACAGCGTCCTGAATCCCTTCCCTGAGAATTGCTAGCTTCGTTGGCCAGCGTCACAATGCTCTGCGCTGGCCCCCTGCTGAATTGTCATGATATGCCAAAGGCTTGCAGCTTCCAAGTTTACATCTCACACATGGAAAGTAGAAAAACTCTTTGGGGCAGAGTTGTACACACATACTCTGATACTGCCTGAGAGCATTGCAGCAGCTCATGCCCCTCCTTGATCTTGGCGTGAACGCAGACACAACATGTTCAAGGTCACTCAGGTAGCTGCACGGCTTGGAGGCGTCTTGTTTCGACGTACATCTGGGATCCTGTCACCCTCAGCCTGCACAGCAACAATGTTAAGAAAAGCAAAGCGAGCATCATTGGCATCTTCTTCAACCCGCTAATCGCATGTTCATCGGATGTTCATCGGATGTTCAGCAGGGGGAAGCCTCCATGTTCACATCAAAGGAAAGAAGCCATGTGTGCAGTGCTGTCTTCGCAACATGCTTGCGAGACAAAAGGTTGTTTGCACGTGCAACCCCACTCCGCTTGGCTCTAACAACTTTACGGTGATGTTTTTTGCCAGCTGATCGCATGGAGCCGAAGTGGGCGCTGGAGCTTGGCGCACAAGAGACAATCTGAATAGCCCCGACCGGAAAAGTACAATGCCAGAGATTTCCAACGCCGTTCTGACATCAATGCCATTCGGTCTAAACTTGAGGATGGTGAGACGCAGCCGGCCAGCTTGAGCAAAAGCCCTCTAAAGCGATTTGCGCCATTACGCGCAAACAAGCCTGCTACTTGGCACACCACTCAAAAGCTTCTTGCTTTCTGTCGGTGCCGAGGAAAATGGGGAGTTATCTCTGGGCGCCTCTTGTGGGAAGACCCATGCAGTGGCCAGGAGTGATCTAATGTGAAACATCAGCGGCCTGCTGTGCCCGACGCGTAGATGAAGAAAGCCAGGCTCACCTCCACTTTGCGCAACATCATGGACTTGCTATGCCGCTGATGCTTCTGAGCTTTGCACCCCAGCCAGCACGGGTACCTGCGCTACAGAAGGGACTGACAAAATGCAACTTGAACTTTGCCAGGGCGAGGTGCCGCAATTCGCAAGCACATCCCACGGCTGGCAAGGGCAAGTGGAGCCGCCTGACAGCCGCATGCTGCAGCTAGCTATGTAGTCATCCTTCCCGTCCTCCTCTTGCCCCGCAGCCACCATGGGCTCCCTGGCGGAGTCGCCTCAGCCGTGCGATACCATTCCATGCCATGCGAGGCATGTGCGATCCAAATCACCTAAAACCGGGCCTTGGCCTTGCAGCATGGCCCATGCCCAGGATAGATCCTGTGAATAGCAACTTTGCGTCTTCAACTCACATTGAACGCTCCCAAAAACAATACTCTCGGCCTGGGGCGTGTCGATCAGACGATCGACGTAGCCAGTCCGCATTGGCGCACGGTAGCCCTCGGCCTCTGAGTCCTTTTAGCAGATCAGCTCTGCGTAGCTCTGCATACCTCTGCTTCTTTTCGCAAAAGGGTGCATATGAGCTCAAGTCCTCAAGTTGCTGGTAGTGTGCCAGCTCGGCATCATCATCTGCCTTGCAAGGCCACCATCTAACGTCCTTCTTCTCAAGTACTTGCTCTTCCAAGGACCCAGCGACTGAGTTTGCATGTGGCTGGCCTTTTTCGTGGAGGGTAGTGCGTAAGGATGCTTAAGGTGCACCTTTTGCTTGATTGGCAGGCCTCGGAGCTCTTGCAGCGGGTGGCTTCCTGACTGCGGCTGTGCCAAAATGATCGCATGCTTAGCTGTGCTTAGCGGCGACCCATCCTCCAGGATTGCCAGGATTCAGGTGCGCTGCAAGTTGCCGACTGTATTCCTCGCATCATGCTTGCATTGTTTCAATGCAGGGGCGCCGCACGAAGTTTGCTGTATTGCCGGAGCTCACAGTGCGCCCTCGCCTCGTCAGCCTCCAACTGCCTCAGTCTCGCCTTCCAAATCGCGAGCGAGAGTAGCGATTAGCAACTTTTGATGGTTTGACCGCCGTGGCGGAAGCTCCATGACTTAGCCGGCACTGAATTAGAGCCTCCTCCTCTTCCTTGGCGAACTGCTCCGCCTGACGGATAGCAATTCGATTTCGCCACAGCTCGGACGCAGCTCTCTTGTGTGCCCATCAAGGATCAAGGACCAATAGGCAATCCTTCAACTTCAAAAACATGTCTAAACCTCAGCTCCGGGCGAGCACGGCATCCTGCTCCTCCTTTGTGTCTCATGCTACGCAGCTCTTACATGTCCCACTGAAGATGCGTCTAGAAAGGACACCCACGCGTGCTGACACCTAAAGCAAAGCATGTTAACCAAGCAAGGAAGCAACCCGGCACGGGGTTTGGAAGCTATCGAGTATTCACTTCATGAGATCAAGCGGGCATTTGGCCTTCTGCTGCGTAAACGATTTGCTGAATTTCGCGTGTCTTCAAAACTGAAAACATCCAGATGTTGCTCAGCTTGGTTTGTCATGACTCACAGCGAGAGGAAGTGGCATCGCAAAAGTGGGCTGACACAAGGATCCTGTTTCAAGGTACGAGCGCCTAGGACCCCAAAGCCACGACAATTTGCTCCTGTGCTATTCAGTGTTGTAGAATTGCCTTGGCCTTGAGCATTAACCCCTATGTAAGCAAGAGCTCAGGTGCAGTCCTGCTGCTGCAACTCTCGTTTTCGCTGTTCTTCTGCAGCCTTCTGCTCCCGCTCCTGAAACCTTGATGCGCATCTAAGCAGCTTCAAACGTACCGCAACACAAACCGCCTCTGATGATGCCGTTGCCGAACGTCAGCAAGCTCTTGTAGCGGCTGGGCCTCGGATCGGCTGAAGGTCCTCGTAATAGGCAGCGTTCAAGGTGATGCCTTCCCGTCTGGGTCGGCCGGGTCAGGGTCGGATGCCGGCATGTGCCTTGCAATGGCTCGGTTGCTCTCACAGCTGTGCTGCAATGCCCTGTAGTGAGGCGGACATGGCAGCCAAGATGCGTTTGGGACTTCTGCAGTCAAGGAAGGCCCGGCTGCAGAGAAACAGCTGAAGTCAGCATCTGCTGTGACGTGATAGCAAACAAGCGCTGCAAACCAATCCCAGCGCAATTGCCTTTGGCAGCACTGCTTTTCACAAAGCTCTCAGGGCAGCACTTTGGATGCCCCAACGCATCCAACGTTGTGAACGTGTTAAGAGACTTGCAACTGGCTGTAGCATTAGGTCAGCGCAGGTATGACACTGCTTTGCTACTTTCCATCGCCAGCCAGGTACGCCTCGAAGTCAGAGAACGTCACCACACCGGACTGGCGACACTTTTGAGCCATGAGCATGCATGCAATTCCTTCACAATGCCATAAGCATCATAAATGTTTCACAACTCAAGACAGCACCCTAGGCTTGTTTGGGAGCCTTTGAACGGTCCATGTCGTGGAAGATCTCTGTCGCACGGGCTGCGGTTGGACGGCAGACATCCTGACACCTGGGATCACAGGCTACAGCCGTCCCTGGCTGCCCAAAATCTGGTATAGACTTCAGCAGAAGCAAGGTGCGGACACTTCATGAAAACATCGTAGGTCCAGGAAGCCATGCTCACGTACATCCAAAGCTGAGAACCTAATCTGCTTCAGCTTGGTGGTGCTTGGCTTCGATCCTCTGGACAAGCATGTGTCTGCAAAAAACGTTGAGAGAGGGGCAAGCGCAGTGCAAAGTCGCGTTCGCCAAAGACCCGCCTTTTGGTAACCACGTCATAGACGACATCTACGGATGGCTTTTCACTTACTTTCTGACTTACTGCACCGACTCATCATCACACCTGCCATCGACACTAAAACTCCTAAAACTCCTACAACGTAGTCCCCTTTCCGCACCTGAGGTCCTCGAGCTTGCGGGGTGAAAAACACTAGAAGCGCATAAGTCGGCAATACTGCGCCTTCGTTCATCCACTAAGGCGAGGAAGGCCTGTCTGCAAAGTCTGATACTCAGGCCATACCGACTGCTGGAAGCGCAATCACATGCCTCCAGCACAATGCCTTGCCCTTCCTGCCTTGGCAGAGTCCGCAGATCGCATAAGCTGATGTCAAACTTGCATCGATCAACACCCCCATGGAGCCTGCGGTACTGGGACATGAGATCACGGAGATCCTTCAGCATGTCGCACCTATTCTCTGCAACTGGCATTGCAAGGCTCGTGTGGCACCCTGTCCTGCTTTTTAAACTTGACACCAAATACGGCCAAGACGGCACAACCTGATCTCAGATCGGATGCAAACAGCATCAACAAGAAGTTTAACATCACCTGGGATTCCTGCTGAGATCATCAATGTCCAGACAGGGCTTCCCATCTGCAAAAGCAAGCAGTCACCAATCTGCCCAAGGCCAACTGAATCCTCCTGACGTTTAAGATTAAGCACGAAGGCCTGCAAATTTCTCGAACGCTGCTCGCGGATCCATAGCTATTGGGTGTGCAAAAGCTGTTTGCCAGCCAACTTGGCCCATCTGTCATGCTGGCTTCGTACTGGTGAGAACACTCTTCTGAATCGTGACAGGGCTGATGATCGGATGCGTGTCATGCCACGGATTATTGATTACATTGGGATCTGCGCAGTGCATTCCGTGGCTAACTCGGCTAAGATTTGTCTTCAGGCAGTCTGACTTTGTAGCTTGCAAGCTTGGTCAGCACTATGAATAATCTTACAGGACTCATAAAGAGAAACTAGGTCCTAGTCCACAGCAAACATTGCTGAGCTGGAGTTCCAGTGTATAGTTCCTTGAAAAAGGGCTCGGTGGTTATGGAAGTACTACAGGCGCATCAGTTTTTGGAAGTCAAGATGTGGCACCGGCATCATTGTCTCAATGGCAGGCGCATGCCTACCAAGAAAGCCACTGAGAAACTGAAAGTACCCAGCTCGAATCAACACTAGAAGATACTAGAAGTGCCTGAAATGGAAGTTGAAAATATTACGGAACCCTGGTTGAGGGAATTGAGCTTCTGACACCCCCTTTCCACTGCAGCTCTGCCCTACCGTGGCTGGTGCGGCCGCTGGCCCTGAATTTTCAGCTCTTCGCACATGGTCCTGACCCATGCCAGCCACGCCATGCGCTTCTTGAACCAGGCTGATTGGGCCTGGTCAAAAACATGCCTGTGCAATCTGCATGTTCAGTGAGCTGGCTTTCATAACTGGAGTCCTTGGCAACTGCATTCTTGCCCTCACTGGGAAAGAGCTGCCAGAAGTCACATTGGTGGTCACGAACGTCATCGGATTCTAGGCTTACAGTTTCCTGCACAGAGGCACACTGTGACAAGGTTGCTGCAAGTTACCCTCTGCCTTTCTTTTCGCCCACCGCCAGCTGAAGTCCAGCTTCCAGATCCAGCTTGTGAAATATCTTCGCATCAGCCTTCACGTTCAGGTTTGCGGATAAGGCCCATATCGACACAGAATGACACAGACAGCTTCTGCTTGCCTGAGGGTCCGCACCCTCTCAGCAGAGCGCACAGCATGGAAGAGCTGTTCAGCTCGGCAAGCACATCTTTGAGCCAGCCAACCTTGCACATCTTTCACAAACGATGCCGAACACTTCTGCTGGCAACAGTACGGGCTACCTCGGGCAGCCCTCGCGATGACAGCTGCAGCACGTCTCCTGTCTCCTGCATGCCTCAAGCAACAAGACATTCAGGCTGCAGCAAGTGGCAAGCCTCAGATGAAACCTCCGGGCCTAAACTGGCGCAGACTCTCTTGCAGTTTGGTCATCTGCCATCGAGTGAGCAAAGCGCCAAGAGCCTCAAGCAAGACCCAGAAGCACCAGGAGCCACAAGAGGACAGCCGACAAGCTGCAAGATGATACTCAAACTTGAGCTTTTCACCTTGCTGGCACTCAATTTTCTCCGTTGGCATCGCAGGCGATATCGGCGGTAGGCATATTGCAATAGGGTCGCCATACGATGCTGCAACTCCTGCATGACACAGGAGCATCGTGACAATGCTAAGTCTTTCAAACCACAGCCTGTTGCTTGTTGGTGGTGGGCGGCTGGTCTTCAGCTCTGCTTTGACATGAGTTTGGGGCACGTTCCTTGCGCAGGAAAACGAATAACAACCCCAAATCAAAAATTATGGATGGGCACCTGGACACCGCATGCTTGGGCGCGTCGAAGAACACGGTCGCAAGCTACTACTGCCTCCATCACAGAAAGACACGGTCACACCGTGCTTGGGCCAGCTGCCATCTTCTGCCTTCGCAGACGCCAGGCCACACTCTCTGCAGAGTGCTGCCAGCTCCTCAACCTCAGTCCCAGTAGCACAAGCTGCCACTTCAAAACGTATGGGAACTTACATCAGCCCAGCTAAGCCAGCTAAGCCTGCTGGCCTGCTGTCCGGAGCTTCTGCACATGCCGCGCAAAACAGACTCGCATGGATCCCAGCGCCTGCGACGTCGGGACTGGTGTCCTAGTGCCCTCGTGGCATGCGAAGCGCTTTGGAACCTCTGTAGCTCGGTTAAGTGCTGCAGCACTGCCTCAGGCCAGACACTTCAAAGCCTCCAAGCCTCCACTTGATGTACTTCGAAGCCTACACCAAGAGCCTCAATATATCGCTTGAAGCTGTCACGGACAAGGAGGATCGGATCTCCCTGGGCTTCCATGTCCATCACCAGGGGGCTGGTAGTACTTGCTTATGCAATCCCTTGACGTTGCTGACGTTTGCTGATGAGACCTTCAGCACGCGCATCTGATCATTCATCTAGTCCTTTGCAGTGGAGCAGAGCCCAAGAAGTAACGGGTATGGTGCTTAGGTCTGCTGACATCTACGGCTACAACTTCCGCATGAGCGGGAAGAAAGCAGCTGCCGTGCCAGTACATGAGCCGGGTTCGTCACATGGAAGCGGCTGCGCAGAAAAGGAATATGGATGCACAGTGGCGATACCTCTGCAGGCTCAATAGGCACAAGCCTGCGCAAGCGTTCATTCTTTTTTCCAAAGACTACTGACAAAACATGCACAAATCACCATCTGCATCTGCGTCTGCCCTCTTTAGGGCACCCTTTCGCGAAAATCTCCAGGCGCGTGTGACTGGCCGCTGCCGACCACACTCAACACATCTTAAACCAGAATCAGAAACCTCAAAAGTGCGGGAGCGATGCACACCTCTACGCGTTCATTCTTTGGGCAAGCAGCGTTAAGCTTCTGTTTTTCAGGTTTGAAATTTTCATGGCGACCGAAGGTATCTGGAGAGCGCTGCGCTGCCTCACCTTCGACTGCTTCGCATGCTTCGCGCACAGTTTCCCGCGCTGCTTCACAGAAGCAGCCAGCGTCCTGGCTGCGCTTTGCCTCCTACGCTCTTGCATCCAAACGGCGGAACAAAGCAATGAAGAAAGCAAGCCTCCCCACGCGTCCCCTCAAGAGGTGTCAGAATGCCTTGCGATATGCAAAGATATGCAAAGCTCTCGGGTCTTCGGCGTGGCCTAGATTGTTGGAGACAGTATCTTCGATGCTCCGAGATGACCGGCTTCGTGAACGTCAGATCAAGGGAGCTTGAACTGAAGTTGGACGCTACTAGATCGCGGAGTCACTTCCGGCTAAGGACTTGTAAGATGAAGAGCTGTGACAAGCTGGAGCAGCACGAGCCAAGGAAAGAACGCGCGTCTTCTGACTGCAGGGCTACTCACTCATCTTCCACCTGCATCTGAAGCAGCGTTCCAGGCCATCTCTTCTCGATTTCTGACAGGTCCTTACTCTGAAGCTTCATGCGAATCACCTTCTGTAGGTCCTTATGCGGGGCAGCCAGTTCCCAAAGCGTAAGTGGCGGATTCGTGTCAGGAACAACAGTGAGAATGGCACCGTGAGCAGCGACCATGGCTTTAGTGGCATGCCGCAAGTTGTGTCGAATGGCTAGTCCCAAAGGTGTCCAGCCATCCTTCCGCTTCAAATTGGGGTCCGCGTGCTTCTCAAGCAGAGCTCTGACAAACTCGTTCTTCACGCGCGCGGGTGCCTTCTCCACGGCCAATGACAGGGCTGAGGCACCATCATACCGAAGCTCCTTGGCCGCAGCCTCATGCACATCTAGCAGTTTGTGAAGCATCTCGCTGGTGGTCTTGTATACTGCAAGATGCACAGCTCTCTCGCCACTTCCTTTGGCAGGTAGTGTCAAGCTTGCCCTGTAGGCAATGAGAAGGTCCACAAGTTCAGGATTGCCATTCGACACTGCCATCAACAAGGGCGTCCAGCCTGTTCCACCGTGGTATGCGTTTGGGTCTCCATTGCTTTCCAGCCAAGTCTTTGCTGCAGCAACGGAGCCCCCGAGCATGTCACGCAACAAGTCTCCCTTGAGGTCCTTGTACTCATCACCCATGTGGCAAACCGTGTCGCAGGTATCTGCAGCGAACTCGGAGAACTGACCGCGGTGTCGTTTTGCCTTGACATTTGTTTTGGGAGAGGAATCGGAAACGGCCTGAAGAAGAGCTTCGCGGCGGCCTGAGCTGGGTACAGCCCTCAGATTTTGACAGTTCTTCCCATCGTCGGTCCCACTTAACTTTTAGAATGCTGCCGAGTCGCGGGAAGATCGCGTTGTCTCGTCATCCAGGGTCTGCATGTGCATGTGGGCTTGTGACAACTCTTCAGACAGCCGCTGCTGAATGTTCTCTAGCCGACGAAGTCTCTCCGGATCAAGGTCGAAGAAAGCCAGCGGCCCTCCGCTCTCTGCTGCCTCATTAACTTTCTAGGCCAGTCTACAACAGGTATCATAGATGCTCCATTTGACAGCCCTCCCAGTACAATTAGACTATGCTCAAAGCGGGCAGTCCAAAGCCACGGGACTGCTGTAGCTTTGCGCAACTTGCGCTCACAACGCTGCATCTCCTTCTCTAAGTGCGCGATCCGCTCCTCTTGCGCAGCAGCCGGGCTTGAAGTTGAAACAGAGAGTGCCGAGAAATGGAGAGAACATGCAAGAACGAGGTAGCATGCCCTTTGGGGTGCCCTGCGTGTTCACGCAGATTGCGGGACGGTTCGGGCACCCGGAATGTGCAAAGACGGTCGCTTGTTGAAGATTTGGAGGCATAGGATGTTGAGGGCGTTCATTGATTTCTCTGTCGCGAAAACAACGATTCCAGCACAAGCTGAGTTGACTATCTTCATGACAAGTGTTCGCGCAGGTTACGCGTGCATGAATGGATCCGCGACTTTTTCGAAACCCCAAGAGGCTGAGAAAAGTAGGGCCGGAACAGAGTCCCGATAGTGGATCAGCACATTTTCAATGTGTCACTCTAAGCCATGCCACACATAAGGCACGTTTCGGCAAGCTCAGCATCCTAGCAGTTGGCCAGCACTATGATGCTGGCAAGGACCATCGATGATTTTGAGCAGGGAGAATAAGACCTACTTATTGGCAAGGAGCATTCAGGCCCCTAAGTTGAAAGTTTGTTGCCATTGAAGACAGATTTTGTGATGATTTCAGCAGTCCTTGAGCGCTTGTTTCTCGGCATCGTCCTGCCAAGACATGAACCGCTGTGCTGCCTTCCAGTGCCTGTTTTGCACTAAGCAGACTCTCATACCCGGACTCATACCCAAGCCTTCTGATTCCAGGGGTTGCTCTACATGAATCCCACCTACTACCAGGCAGAACCTCGCCAGCATCGTCAACAGGCAGCGACTCCACAGATGTTGTTGAGTGCCGCCTGGCGAAAACGCCACCTATTGTTGCTATATGAACTTCAAGAGCACCCATACGACCGTTTGCACATCATCGCGCCTGGAGTGGTTGTTCTTCGCAGCTTTCGCCTGTGCTTTTTCAATTGCACTCGCAGAATTCTACATTGGCGAGAATATAGATAATGGAGATAGTTCTTACACATATCCTGTTGAAGGAGCTGACTAGGTCGGTCCAGGCGGTGGGCGCCTCATCTTTCAGCATTTCACCGGTCGCTGGATCAACCAGGCCGTCCAGAAGGCCCAACACTTTCACCTGCTCCATCACAACGTGGATGCATGTCTTAACATGTGACAGCGACTGACCCGAAGCCTCTGCCAGCATTTTCTCCTGCTGCTGCTGCTTGTTTTTTAGATTCTCGCTTGCAAAGCCAAGCCATCGCATCTGGGAAGCTTCGCCGCTTGCACCAGTTCCCGTAGACTCGCCTGTAGAGGCCACACCCTCACTCTAGGCGAGAGCTGTGAAGCATCAGAGTCATTAAAGAATGTCAGACAACACTGTTCAAGATCCCAGCGGCTTTGAAAGTCGTCATCCTCTACACTTCCAGGCGCGGCCACAAAGACGGTAGACTTCCACTGCCTCAAGAACTCAATGACTTGCAAACGCAAACACGTCCCCTGGCTGTCCAGTACAAATGCCTGTTGCTCAGGATTCTGTCCTCCGGCACGTGTAGGGCTATGCAGTAGGAGACTCTGCTCAGAGGGAGCACCTGCCCTTGGATCTGCGCACTTTGCCCAAATCTTGCTTCTATAACAGTCCGTGACAAGTGCAGATTGGAGACGCTGTCCATCGGGGATCCTGCACGCTGCGCGGCATAGCTTTTCGCGGTCCATGAAAATGTCGGGAGGGTCTTTGATCCTTAAACAGGCAATCACAACCATGCCTTGACTGGAAGCCCACGTTGTGCAGAATGATTGGGAAAATATCTTTGTTGATCCGCGTTTGGAAGGGAAAGGGCATGGGAAGGAGGGTGGGGGTCCCCGTGCATGTCTATTCTTTTGCTTCTTCATTAGAAAGTGTGCGCAACAATAGGGTCGCTCTGGGAAAGACATGCTGTGCAGTAACTTGCCGTCCAGCCTACGTCCTGCAACCTTTTTCTCCTCCTAGGGTTCCAGGAAAACAGCATCCTAAAGCCACGTGGCATGACCGCAAGCCCCCAAATTGCGCTTGCAAGTTTGCTCAGCCAAGCGTGCACACTTGGATCGCGCGGCTTGACAGAGATCCGAAACTGGATCACCCCATGGGGTGTTGTTTCAGGGCGACCATTTCGGGTTCATGGGCAGGCCGCTTTGGGCTTCTGGCACCTAGCTTCGGTCCTGCGAGCCTTGAAAAATCGAGAAGCCCCCACGCTAAAGCCCGAACTCCCAAAAACCATTCCTAAATCCGAAACTCTAAATCCTAAACCTAGGCCCTAAATCCTAAACTCTAGACCCTACATCCTAAACCGTAAATCCAACTTTCCAAAACCCACCAGCCCAACCCTAAAGCAGCCAAAGCCTCATTCCAAAAACCAAACCATAATTTCTGAAGCATTCAACCCAAAGACCCAGAACCTTGAATTGTAAACCGTGAATCCTAGCCCCTGAGCCCTACACCCCCAATCCAACCTCCGTAAAGCCTACACCCCAGAAAGACCCCAACCCAAAACCTGGAGCAAGCTCTAACATCTGTCAAACCTAAATTCCCAAACCCCAGACCCAAAGGTTTGAAGCCACCAACCCAAAGCCCAATGCAGAAAACTTACGTCCTAAAACCTGAATCCTGAACCCGAACTCCTAAACCTTCACGCCCGGATACATACAAATTGTAGATAAGGCAAAAGCCGAGCAAAAGCTCCGGTCAAAATCCACACAAAACTCTGGACCTGAAGCCTAATTATAAAATTTGCCAATCCAACCTCGTGAAGCGTAAAGGCCTCTGAAGTCCGCAACCCAAAACCCAA